TGACAGAGACATACCTGTAATATGACTCAATAGAAATGAGAAGAGGGTTCGTGCACACACTTCGACAATGGTTTTCAACAGCCATTAGACGTATTCAAGGCCCTGTATACCGACGTATTCATCAATGCAGATCGCTTATTGTGATGTTGGCAACCAATCACTTAATAGTTGGAGGGCCGTACATTAGCAGTTATCCAGGGGATTGGGTACCCTAGTGAAAAAGTCCTTTAGGATTTCGCCAGAATCCCCACAATCCTTAAGGATCCATAAGGACCCATAAGGATCAGATATGAAATCCTTAAGGACTCTACGGACCCTCTTGAATCCTTAAGGACGCATTCGCCGATCCGTAAGGATTTTAGGGCGATGTTTGGTATCCTTGAGGATCGCTCAGTATTCCGTAAGGAAATTGCTACTTGCTAGTGTCGCTTAATCCTTCAGGATAGCCGATGCAGCCAGTACGTCAATCATTATGGAGTGATTGAATCATCCCTACTATTATTCCGTGCTCCGTATCCGATAATTTATTAGCCATATGACATATACGGCATGTAAAAACTTTGTGACGGACCAAAGCAGCGTTCGCTATCATAGGCGCGGGAACCGGGAGGCGAGGGGGGCAGTGGGAGCAGCTTGCCCCCACTTTTGTGCTGAACTTTGAAATTAAATATTTTCGATTTATGGCATTTCTCGATATTGCGAGTGCCAAAACCGGTGATTGTGAGCCAGGGATAACAATTTGGCTATCTTAACTCAGAATTAATATTCAGCTGGGATGGTCACCTAAATGTCCACGCTGGGTTCACCCAGACTCCAAATCGGATAGACGAATAGTTCTGATAAAAAGTACCTATTGGTATCTCAACCAAGTGCCATAGTATGCATGTATCGTATGGCCTTAGTGCCACCGGTGCCACAGTGTTTGCGCTGTGCTCTTTCAGAGACCGTACCGACTGGAATTTAGCGACCGCTGACCGTTTCAAAGACTGTACGGGCGGCAGCGGGCGGTCTGATCCTCGCCTCCGGCAAGAGGGGAGACCGCGCGTCCCCCTGTCGCATTGTGCCGCTGCCGCTCGCGGGATGCGGACGAGTCTGTTGAGTGTGTTGTGCCGTCTGCCGTCTCCTCTTCGGGCCATGTAAGTCTCTGCCATGCTGTGTATCAATGAGATGATTGATCCTAGTTATTGCATTGATAGATACAAAAACCGGCGCTGAAACGTTCACTTCAATTAATGGCGATAGTCGTCGTCATTCATTTGGCTGCGGCAAATGAAAGTACTACCGGTAGCGTCTTTTAGCGTCATGCCTTGGAACGAGGCCCAGGTAAATATGTATAATAGAATGGATTCAGGGTAGTAGGACTTAGGTGCATATTGCATTGCTAAATGAACATACACAGGCATCTAAGCTGGAAATGACTGAACTGAATTTACTCAAAGGCTCACCAATATTCTTTGGCTGGGACTGCAGTCTAAGCCTAAGAGTAGAATTCGTGAGCCTTTGAGTAGGTATTGTTGATCAGTATATTACTGTTATTACATAGGAATATCCGCCTTGTTACAGGAACGCAGGATGCAAGACTGGACAGGCGACGGGCGACTCAACCGCTCAAGATGTGTAGAATGTGGATGGCGGAGGAGCGGCGGCCGAGGACGTGTGACGTGATAATATCTGAAGCGTGGCTGACTCGAAAAAGTGTAGACTTATCTTCATGTAAATATGTTTTTCGGAAGTCCTCGGTTTATATTTCTCGGAGCCTCAGCTGCAACCTGCGAATGCCTAGAGCTCCATATATGTATACCCGGCCGCCTGTGGTTGGCGGCTGCTCCATTCCTGGCAATGAAAAATGGCTAAATGTGCTTGTTTTAAGTAAAAAATATACCACCAGAGACCGTACAAATGTGTTTGCTAGGGTTTGATCCTTACGGATTTATATATCGCTCATTAAGGAAGAGCCTCAAAATCCTTGAGGATTGTCGCCAAGATCCTTAAAGATTTTGCTACAAATCTTTAAGGAAAAGCCACAAAGTCCTTAAAGATTATTACCAATGTCCTTAAAGACATTGCTAGAGATCCTTAAGGATTTAGCTAAAAATCCTTACGGATTTTCCGCAGAATCCTTAAGGAATTTCTAACAAAATCCTTAAGGATTGTGTATCAATTTCGTACAAGGATTTTGTTAAGGATCGTCCTTAAGAAATGCATAGGACTGTCCTTAAGGATTTTTTCACTAGGGTAATGAGGCAAAAGGAGCACTTCCTGCAATTAGGCGCAAAGGCCAATGCAGGGGAGATTGAATAAGATAAACTTCAGGTGCTATTGTGTTCCTGTGACCTCTGCTGACCGCTGCAGGCGCTCTCTTTCAGAGTAGTTGGCCGCCGCACAGCATCGACCGGCGCTATTCCGGGCCGGCCCGCCGGCCGGCCGCCACTCATATCTGGCTGCCGGCCGAGCTAATAGAGCTATGTGTGCGCTCTGGAGCGGTCCGATCACCGGCCGGCGATCCGGCCACTCGTCTCTCAGCGCTCCGGCCACTCGTCTCTCAGCGCTCCGGCCACTCGTCTCTCAGCGCTCCGGCCACTCGTCTCTCAGCGCTCCGGCCACTCGTCTCTCAGCGCTCCGGCCACTCGTCTCTCAGCGCTCCGGCCACTCGTCTCTCAGCGCTCCGGCCACTCGTCTCTCAGCGCTCCGGCCACTCGTCTCTCAGCGCTCCGGCCACTCGTCTCTCAGCGCTCCGGCCACTCGTCTCTCAGCGCTCCGGCCACTCGTCTCTCAGCGCTCCGGCCACTCGTCTCTCAGCGCTCCGGCCACTCGTCTCTCAGCGCTCCGGCCACTCGTCTCTCAGCGCTCCGGCCACTCGTCTCTCAGCGCTCCGGCCACTCGTCTCTCAGCGCCCCGGCCACTCGTCTCTCAGCGCTCCGGCCACTCGTCTCTCAGCGCTCCGGCCACTCGTCTCTCAGCGCCCCGGCCACTCGTCTCTCAGCGATCCGGCCACTCGTCTCTCAGCGCTCCGGCCACTCGTCTCTCAGCGCTCCGGCCACTCGTGGCTCAGCGCTCCGGCCACTCGTCTCTCAGCGCTCCGGCCACTCGTCTCTCAGCGCTCCGGCCACTCGTCTCTCAGCGCTCCGGCCACTCGTCTCTCAGCGCTCCGGCCACTCGTCTCTCAGCGCTCCGGCCACTCGTCTCTCAGCGCTCCGGCCACTCGTCTCTCAGCGCTCCGGCCACTCGTCTCTCAGCGCTCACCGGCCACTCGTCTCTCAGCGCTCACCGGCCACTCGTCTCTCAGCGCTCACCGGCCACTCGTCTCTCAGCGCTCACCGGCCACTCGTCTCTCAGCGCTCCGGCCACTCGTCTCTCAGCGCTCCGGCCACTCGTCTCTCAGCGCTCCGGCCACTCGTCTCTCAGCGCTCCGGCCACTCGTCTCTCAGCGCTCCGGTCACTCGTCTCTCAGCGCTCCGGCCACTCGTCTCTCAGCGCTCCGGCCACTCGTCTCTCAGCGCTCTCCGGCGGCCGCGTGACGTCAGTGGGCACTGCACCGGCGGCGGCGGCACCGCGGGAGGATAGACGACATAGCAGAGACACAGCAGAGACACAGCAGAGACATAGCAGAGACACAGCAGAGACACAGGAGACACAGCAGAGACACAGCAGAGACACAGCAGACACAGCAGACACAGCAGAGACACAGCAGAGACACAGCAGAGACACAGCAGACTGCAGAGACACAGCAGACTGCAGAGACACAGCAGAGACACAGCAGGGACACAGCAGGGACACAGCAGGGACACAGCAGAGACACAGCAGAGACACAGCAGAGACACAGCAGAGACATAGCAGAGACACAGCAGAGACACAGGAGACACAGCAGAGACACAGCAGACACAGCAGAGACACAGCAGAGACACAGCAGAGACACAGCAGAGACACAGCTGAGCAGAGACACAGCAGAGACACAGCAGAGACACAGGCGACACAGCAGAGACACAGCAGACACAGCAGAGACACAGCAGAGACACAGCGGGGACACAGCAGAGACACAGCAGAGACACAGCAGAGACACAGCAGAGACACAGCGGGGACACAGCAGAGACACAGCAGAGACACAGCAGAGACACAGCTGAGCAGAGACACAGCAGAGACACAGCAGAGACACAGGCGACACAGCAGAGACACAGCAGACACAGCAGAGACACAGCAGAGACACAGCGGGGACACAGCAGAGACACAGCAGAGACACAGCAGAGACACAGCAGAGACACAGCAGGGACACAGCAGGGACACAGCAGAGACATAGCAGAGACACAGCAGAGACACAGCAGACACAGCAGAGACACAGCAGACACAGCAGAGACACAGCAGAGACACAGCAGAGACACAGCAGAGACACAGCAGAGACACATGAGACACAGCAGAGACACAGCAGAGACAGCAGAGACACAGCAGAGACACAGCAGAGACACAGCGGGGACACAGCAGAGACACAGCAGAGACACAGCAGAGACACAGCAGAGACACAGCAGAGACACAACAGAGACACAGCAGACTGCAGAGACACAGCAGAGACACAGCAGAGACACAGCAGACACAGCAGAGACACAGCAGAGACACAGCAGAGACACAGCAGAGACACAGCAGAGACACAGCAGAGACACAGCGGGGACACAGCAGAGACACAGCAGAGACACAGCAGAGACACAGCAGAGACACAGCAGAGACACAGCAGACTGCAGAGACACAGCAGACTGCAGAGACACAGCAGAGACACAGCAGGGACACAGCAGGGACACAGCAGAGACACAGCAGAGACACAGCAGAGACACAGCAGACACCGCCGGACGCATCACAGACACTGCCCCCCCCCCCCCTCTCTCTCTCTCTCTCTCTCTCTCTCTCTCTCTCTCTCTCTCTCTCGGGCGGCTCCCCTTTCCCGGGCCTCTCTCCCCTCTCCCTCCTCTAGCCCGGCTCCCGGCTCCCGGCTCCGGCGGTGGGTGGCCGCTCACCTCTGCGGGCCGGCGGCCGGCGCTGTTTGACTTTGATGCGCAGGTGGATGGCGCTCAGCGCGTCAGCCGGCAGCTGCAGAGTAAAACTCTCCGCGTACTTGGGACTGCAAGGGCGACAGCGGACGCATCAGAGCCACCCCAATCACATTGCACCTAAACACACACACAATCAGAGACACAGCAGAGGCACCGGGGCCGAGAGGGGCAGGCCGACGGAGCCGAGAGAGGCAGGCGGACGGAGCCGAGAGGGGCAGGCGGACGGAGCCGAGAGGGGCAGGCGGACGGAGTCGAGAGGGGCAGGCGGACGGAGCCGAGAGGGGCAGGCGGACGGAGCCGAGAGGGGCAGCCGTGAGGGGCAGGCGGACGGAGTCGAGAGGGGCAGGCGGACGGAGCCGAGAGGGGCAGGCGGACGGAGTCGAGAGGGGCAGGCGGACGGAGCCGAGAGGGGCAGGCGGACGGAGCCGAGAGGGGCAGCCGAGAGGGGCAGGCGGACGGAGCCGAGAGGGGCAGGCGGACGCGTGCCCCAACACGAACCTCAAGGGCCCATTCGCATACGCACCGAGGCACCGTGCCCCTTTGCCAGGGGCGGTCGCAGACAAATTTTGACCTCTGGTGACCCCAATATTGCTCTAAAATGAAAAATGACTGAATACTTTCAAACATACGCATTGAGAGCTATCGACTGCTTTTTACCGCGTCTTTCTAGCCCTCTTAGTTTTTGAGTTAGAGGTGGGTGGTAACTTATGCCCCCCCCCCCCCCACACACACACACACTAGGGCGAAGTTGGCTGAGACCGCCACTGGGGTGCGGGATAATTCACCCCACTGTGAATTGACTACCGCAAAAGTAAACGCGGCTAACTTAACCATCTTCGAAGATATCGCGCTAAAACTTTTGACAGTTGGTCATCGGTATGTGTCCAATCACATGTGCTCCGTTGCTTTCTTTTTTACTTCAGCGCAAATGTAAGTTTTGAAGACCATCACAGTAGCAAATGCTTCGAAAGATGGATAGTGGGCAAAATGTCCTGAATTTGTCGTGCTGCATGGAAAGAAGTGTTGATGAGAAAGGGGGTTTTTGTTCCAGATCATTGTGGGTGGAGAACACATTGCCTGCACCCACTGGAGAATTATTCTTGGTGCAACTGCACACACTGCATCCATGGTCCTACACTTATGGGCCCATCGATAGCGCTTCGGCGATACCTATCGCCTAGAGGCTGCAATGGGGCACTCAGAGTACAGTGTCAGACCCCCAGAGGTCGGCGTTGGACCCAAGGGTCAGCAAAGAGCCTCAAAGGCCCCAGATGGGGCCCCAGAGGCTGATGTGGGCCCTCAGAGGCAAGTGCGTGACGTGCAAAAGTAAGTCTTGCCCCCCCCCCCCCCCCAGAGAACATAATAGGGCCATCAGTGGCCGGTGCAGGTGTAGAGACCTCATAGGCCAGTTGGAGGCCTATAGAGGCCAGTTTGGGCCCCTCAGAGGCTGGTGTGGGGCCTCATATGTCAATGTGAACTGTGAGGCCCTTAAAGACCGGTATGGGTCCTCAGAAGCAGGCATCGATCCTTCAGAAGCCAGTACGGGGCACTCAGAGGCACATAAGGGTTAGTTTGGAATTTGGATCCCAGAGACAGACATGGGACCATCAGAGGCCGGTGTGAGACCTTTAGATGCCAGCTTGGGCCCTTAGAGGCCAGCTTAGGGCCCTCAGAGACCAGTACAGGGCCTGCAAAGGGCAGTTTGATTGAGACCATCAGAGACCGACTTGGGCACTCAGAGGGTAATGTGGGTCATTACAGGCCAGCACGGGGCCCCAAGGTTAGCGTGGTGCCCTAAAAGACCGGCATGGGCCGGTGTTGGACCCCACAGGCCAGCAGAGGGCCCTCAAAGGCTAATGTGAGCCCTTACAGGCCAGCAAGGGGCCCTCAGAGGTCAGTGTGGGGCCCTAAGAGACAGGCATGGGCCGGCGTTGGACCCCAGAGGCCAGCAGAGGGCCCTCAAAGGCCAAGATGGGCCCTCAAAGGTGATGCGGGCCCTTAGAGGCCGGCATCGGGTCTTCAGAATCCAGTGCGAGGCCCTCAGACTTCAGAGGCTAATGTGGGCCCTGTAGGGGTCAGTTAAGTATAGGTCAGGGTCAAGGTCAGGTCAACCGGGTAGGCACATATCCCCGAAAATTAAAACTGATATTCGCAGCTTGTGACACATGTTTTATGGGTAAGTTGCCCTCTCGACTCCGACTCCGTAGAACACGATGGTGACATTCATTTTATCAATATGTGTTCGTGTTTGGTTTAAAAAGTTCAATTTAAGAAATGCATGTATCATGGTCGCGAAGAAGTCACGAGAAATTCCCAAGATTCAGTTCAAGATTTTGGACAATTCGGACCGTAAATCAATAATCGAAGACAGCTATTTGATTGTTCATGGCATTGGCAGTCTCATAACGTTTACGGCATGTCTGCATAGGCGTAGGAACAGGGGGGGGGGCCAGGTGGGCAAGTGCCCACCCACTTTTCGAGGTGGGGGGCCAACCATGTGTTTTGGCCCACCCACTTTTTACTCGAGGCCCCTCGTCTCGATTTGAAAGGACGTCGTCACCTTCCAGAATAAACAAACTCGATAAAAATAAGTTCCACGAATCCCCACGCACGGACTCCAAGGGGCCGTGATGGATCTAAGGAGGCCATCTGTTCATACTTGTCAGTCGAAGCCCCTGAGACTGATGGCCTGAGAGGCCCTAGTGGATCTGAGGAGTCCCCAATATCCACACTGGTCTGGGGAGCAGGGTTGTATACCAATCAAGTCGATTGAATTGATTGATTTGTTTCAACGCGTATTTTGAGTTGATTGGATTGAGTCGATTGACTTTTCGAGATGACTGGTTGACTGACTCGTTTGACTCTAGCGACTGGTTGACTGATTTGATTCCCGAAAATTACAGTGACTCGTATGATTGAGTCGATTGAATGGAAATTTCAAATAAGTTTTAGTTGACAAAAAATAATGACACCAATTGATGACACCAAAGATCACAAAACTACACTGAAAACTGCTTGTCATCACAACTGCAATATGGGGTAGATGGCCAAATAAAGAACAGGGCCTAAACAACATGAACAGCCAACGTTGACTTTCAACTGCAATAACTCAGTTATTGCAACTGCAATAACTGAACTGCTCCAATCCTGGTGATAGAACCTGGCGATGCACTTACCTTCCTTTCTGCACTCAGCAGGAAACTTTTTTTTAAATCCAGATGATAAAGTGCAAGGCCCTATATACTAATAAAGTGTGATTAATTAATAATTCAGATCTCCACATCTCCTCAGAAACAGCCCACTGAACTCTATAAATATCTGGGCCCTGTTTCAGTGCCCGACGCTGCGCGCGCTGCAGCGCGCTGGGAGCTCCTGACGTCACTCAAATGACGTTGCGTGCGACCCGTTAGCTTATGGTAATTCACGTTTGGAACAGAGACCCAGAAGAATCTAATACCAATTGAACAGAAGCTTCAGTGTGAATACTGCTAGCGTGCGGATGGTGCTGGCGCCGGGGTGCCAGCGTTTTGAGATGACGTCATGGCGTAGCGTCAGAGCATGGGGAAGTTTGTTGATATTGCCATGGAAACCCAACGCGCCGACGCGCGCAGCGCACTGCAGCGCTCCGCCGTGAAACAGGGCCCTGAAACCCCTACAAAAGTAACTGAAACAAAATCGCCGTTTTCGTCTCGCTGATAACGTTTACGTACAATTGATAGATACTTTGCTGCATTGTTTAATTTGCAGCAGAACGTTTGTTGATCCTTTTCTCCTGAGAGCCTAAGCATAACATATTAAATATATTTCATTTTCCTTAAAATATTTTACCGAATATTATTAAGTGTTTTTATTTCAAATGAAATAATAATTAAAACGAAATTGGTGCTGTACAACCGATTTATTTTATGATGATCTACCATACTACATGATAATCAATGACGTCATCTTACAGCAAAGTCAAAAGAAGTAGAATAAGGATTTATAAAAGCTTAGCATACTTATTGGCAAAACCAAACGTTTTCGTTGTTTCGCAGTCGCGCCGTTCCGTTTTCCCAGAGTCCCTGTCCTCTCCATTTCCTTTTAATAATCCTCATCCCTATCCCCCAGTCCTAGCAGTCTCAAATTGTATTGGAATAAAATGTTTTGAATTTTTCACATAGGTACCTAACATTGACATGCCACGTCCAGAATCGTGGACCGCTAAATGCTTCAAATCTCTTCCTTCCCAATCTGACAACATCCCATGTCTCAAATGCACATTGTGTGGAATGATTTTTCAGGCTGCCCGTCAGTCTCTGTCTAACCGAAACCGTCACATGCATGATGCAGGTAAGATATTTATTTCTATTTCCCTATGGTTAAAATGTTATTTGATGCATTTTATCCATTAAAATAGACATGATGTAGGGTATAAATGGCCAAATCACGAACACTGCCAAAATCCGAGCAGCCAACTTTCAACTGCAATATCTGATATTGAGTGTAAATGGAGTTGGAATATGGCCAAAATGAAATTGACAACTTTTAGGTGACAGGTGGTGATTTGGGTTAAGGGGCGAGTCAGCTACTGGGTCATTTTGCACCCAATAAATGACACTTCTGCTCCAATTCTACCCATTGAACCTCAATATCATGATCCACCTGTCCATCACTAGGTATCCTTCCTTATTACATAGAAAGTTTGAATGGCATGGCAATTTATAATTTCAAATGACAATATTTTTATGTTTCTTCTGTAGGTAGGTAGGTAGGTAGGTAGGTACACCAGACTGCTATGGACACTTTTCCAAGTTGGTGGGGTAAAAACCTAATGTATGTCTTGGTTTGAGTCGTTTGATTGAGTTGATTGATTCCTTTCATTGTCGCGTTTGAGTTGATTGAATCAATTCCCGAAAACTGCTCTGACTTGATTGATTTGATTGGTTTCCCAAATTTGTCGTGATTGAACTGATTGCTATTGCTTGAGTCGTATACAACCCTGCTGGGGAGGCCCCTGACACTGACGGTCTGGGAGGCCCCTCTATCCACACTACTCAGAGGTCCGAGACTGGTGGTCTGGGAAGCCCCT